TTTAAATCGCATATTTTTTTTGGTTTCCGCTGCATACACGTGCGCGTTACCCAACAGTGATATCAGAGCTCGTTGCGCAATTAATTGTGTTCGTTTTAATATGCTATGATTTTATGCATGTTCGATTTATTAAAGTAGCGATTGTTGTATTATGTAATTGGGAGTTTTCGTAAGTTTAAAATATTTTTGAAATATTCTTTAGAATTTTTCCTGCTTTAAAATTGTTTAAAATTGGAAAATCGGATCTGAAATTATTTTTAAAACGTCGGTTTTTAATTTGTTCGGATCGAACCGGTCGAACAGGCCGGTTCGATGGTTGTGCACGATCCAATTGACCGAATCCACGTGGATTCGGGTCGGTCAGACCGGTTCTCGGCCCGACTGACCCGGCTCACTGATTTGGGTCAACTGGACCGGGCAGAACCGGACCGCTTCGGTCCGAACCGGTCAGACCGGTTGGGCCGAACCGGTTCACTGAAAATAAAAAATAAAAAAATAAAAAAAAATAAAAAGAAAAATTATTTCAGATTTCTAAAATTGAACTTAAAACAAATTGATTTTAATTTTTGGAAAATCATTTTCAATTAATCCCAATTAGATAATCGAGTCAACAATCATCTATTTGAGTAAATAGGTGTTAGATTAATTAATTAATTTAAATTGTTAAATTGATTTCAATTAATAGAACACAAATATAATATTGATTATAGTTCAACTTAATAGTAGTACCTCAACATTATAGGAATGATTTATGCTAGTTGAGGTTCTATAATTATTTTGAAAAACCCGATAATTAATTAATGTAATTAATTATGTAGTTAGGTCGTATGTTTCTGTTAGGACAATATGCGTGATGATGCTAAAATATAGCTCACCTAGGGTGGTGTATAAAATGAACTAGGAGAGCAAAGCGGATCAGTAGCTTGACAACATGATGATCCTGAGGTCCCTGCGAAAAGAGCACACGTGAACTAAGCCGGGGGTTGATCCGGCGGAAACCCCTCCGACGCTCAAGTCAGATGTACGGATCGTAGAGATAGTAGAGAGAATAAAACTCGAGATGGATTGCCAATAATTAGAACGTACCTCAATAAATGAGTAAAACACCTATTTATATATCGGTGATCGGGTTGGGCTTACTTTGTAGGGCCCAAGCCTTACTTTGAAGGTGTTTGGGCTTTCGTGTAGTGGACCCACTTATATGTGATTGGACTTTCGTGTATTGGGCCTAATTAGTAGATAAATTTGAGGGCCCATTGGGCCGGCCCATTTAGGTATATCATTAAGCCCCCCAACTCTCGATTCGAGACGGGGACTTGTGTAGAGGGATCCGGGTCGTGTCGAGAGTTAATTGCGTCATTTCCGTTGGCGGTGAATTAACTCCTTAATTAAATAAAGGATAATTGTATCTATTTGGCAGCGCGGTATATATTTAAGGGTTTTAAATAATATACCAGGGCCAAATAAATAGACTCCTTGTGCGGTAGAAAGAGATAAACTTCCTCTTCTGCGTAATAAATATGGGTATGTACTTTTAATTCTAAGTCTTCTTCTGTGCTATTCTTTTCATGAAATTTTTTTTGCGGTAGAGAAGAAATTTTTCTTTTGGATTCTTGATTATTTGGCTGGGAAAAGTATCTGTCATGTCGAACCCGGGTGAATCAAAATCTTTGCGTATTAAACTTCGAGATCCGGTTGAAGGGGGCGAGAAAACTTTTGGTACTGTGGGTATGGAACGCGAGAAGGTAGTACAATCGGGTGGGGAAATCGAATCTGCAGTAGGTAGTGCACGAATTGAGAAGAAAAAGAACATGTTTAGAGGCTTGGCTGCGGGCGTAGGCTCGAGCCACGCAGCCAGCCGCCAATATTCCAATGGTGGTGCGTTCCACGAAGGCGGCTTGGAGCCGGTCGAAGCCACGGAGCCGCTGGCTTGCGTCGGATTCGAGGAGAGGAGAGAGAGTAGTAGGCGGCGCACGTGGGACAATGGGTGAGGGACGCGCGCGTGCGTGGGGCACGCCGGCCGAGGTACGCGCGCGCGCGTCTGCGAAGGAGGCTGAAGAACACGCGCGCGCGTCGGGTGTGGGGGGACGCGCGCGCGCGATTGGCGAGTGTGATGCAGGTGCGCGTGGAGGCGGGGGGCGAACTGGGGGGTTGCGCGCGCGTCAAGCGCGCTTCCCATTGGCGACGCGCGCGCGTCCGTGGGCGACAGTGCCAGCGCGCATGGGAGCGCGTCAAGAGGGCTCCAGCCCGCGCGTGGGGGCGCGTCTGATGTCATTTTTCCGGCGCGTGGCGGCGCGTTTGGTGATGTTTTTCGACGTTCGTTGCGTGATAGTGATGGTCGAGAGGATGAGGGTTTAGACTTGGTTGATGGTGTGAACGTTAGGGGATCCGTAAGGCGAGAAATCATTGAATCTTGGAGTGACGATGTAGAAGCGAGTAATAATGTTAATATTTGCCCTACTATTGACGAAGTGGGTTCCAGTAGACGTCATTATGGGCGTCAAGTCGTGGATTTTGGAAGTGATAGCGATGAGTCTACTCAATCGCCTCCGGTGAGTGAATATGCGATGGCGAGTGGTGAAGTTCAGCCGACAGATGAAGAGGAGGAGAAAGATGATATTCCGCCGGGTGATGTTCAGATTGATACGAGGAGGCAAAAGAAAAGGAAGCCGCTTAATTTGGACTTAGTTAATTTTGACACTGTGTTGACGGAAGAGCATTTGCACTCTATTCGTTGTTTATCTGGAGCGCCAAGTAATGTTGAGTTGTTGTTGCCTCAGAAGGGCGACCGTTTGTATTCGCCACCCGATGGGTTTCATACGGTATTTTTGGGGTACTTGACGTGCACATCTCAGGTTACACCGCATCCCACCTTGTTGAAGGTTTGCGAGGAATTCAAGATAAGGTATAGTCAGCTAACTCCCACTGCTGTTCTGATGTTCCAGGCGTTTCATTTTAGGGTGGTTCGAGTAGGTCTGCCTGTGACTGTGAATTTGTTCAAGGCGTTATTTACGTTACATCGGCCCACTAAGATGCCTTTCTTTTGTTTCCATCCTCGCGTTCCCTACCAATTCGTGATGAGTGTGAAGTTATCCTTGGGGGAATGGAAGACCCATTTTTTTTATGTGAGGGCTCCCACTTTTGACGTTCCCGTAGTTTGGAACCCTACGTGCGAGAGTTTCAAGATAACTGCGAATATAGCGAAGATGATTGAGGAATCAGGGTTGTGTGATGTGGAATTCGACCCGAGGGGTTTGATACCGAAGGCGAAGGGTCAGCACCGTATATCTTTTGAGTGCTTGAGTTTTTCTCTGTTCTTTTTTTTTTTTTTTTTTTTTTTTTTTTGGAGTCCGTTGGTTGTATATACATCATATTCTTATGTGTTTGTTCTCTTTTGTAGATGGGGGCATTACTTTTGCGGCACTTCGAGCTAAGGCGAATGGGACGTCGAAGAAGGCATCGAAGAAGGTTCCCGCTACGTTAGCAGGGTCTTCGGGCGGTTTGCCTCGTGAGACGGTCTATATAGAGACTCCTCGAGTTATCGAAGATGACCGTAGCAGTGCTAGTGAAGTGGAGGAGTGTCCATCAACGAGGGATCGTGGGAAGGGAAAGAGGGTGGATACTGAGTATGTGGCAGTGCCTAAGCGTCCACGGGTAGACCCAGAGGAGACCTATGCTTTCCATGGTGGGGGAGGGAAACAGTTGTTTACCTATGGCGTGAACCGCGATTAAGGAGTCGTACTGGGATGTGTCGGACCATGATTTGCCGATATTGAGTACTGAGGGATTCGTTCGGGAGTATGACCGTGCTCGGATGTCTGGTAAGGGTCCTTCTCACATGCTGGAGTTAGCTGGTGGGGACATATGTCGGGTGAGTACTTGTCTACTTAAAACAAGATTTTATGTTTTAGTCCCTCTTGACTTGCGAAAAATATTGTTATTATTTATTTATTTTTTATTTTATAGTTGGTAGCGACTTGGAGATATCTCATGGAGCACGGTAGGAACGTGGAAGCTAGGAAGGAAGAGGAACGGGCTCGAAGTCAAGCGCGTGAGGATGAACTTCTAAGCCAGTTGGAGGTAGCGCGGTCCGATCTTGCTCAACGCTCGGAAGAGCTTGCTCGGAGGACAGAGGAGCTTGCTGAAAGGACAGATGAGCTTGAGGTTATCCGAGGTGATGCGAAGGCGTATAAGGATGATGTTCATAAGTTGAACGAATGCTACGACCAACTCAAAGAGAAATATGAAGTTGAGAAGGCGACGGGGAAGAGGTTCCTCACGACATCAGGTGGTGTGGCTTATAGGGAGTCCATCGTGGAGGAAACCAAGGCTAGCTTCCGAGGTAGTGATGAGTGTGGTGCTATGATTGAGGAGTATGCATTGGCTGTGGTTTATAAGCCATTAGTGCGTGCTTGTCGCAAATATCTGCGCGATGCGGGTGGTATCAGCGAGAAAGTGATTCGTGGGATGGAAGCTGGCATATCCAATGAAGAGGAGGATGAGATAGATGTCAATGGGACGGGCACAGAGCTCGTCAATGACATGGTTGCGGATGATTCCACCGTGGGTGCGTCTTCCGCTCGTGGTAGGGGAGTTTAGACTTATGTGCTAGGATAGTTAACTTTCCCCTTTTATTTACTTTTTTTTTATTTGCTATGGATTTCGTAGTTTGTTTTTATCGCTGATGTAGATGGGTATGTCCACTACTATTTCGTTTGAATTTCTTCCTTGTTTGACTTTGAAGTTTAATATTTCGATTTATTTATTTTGACATTGTCAAGAATTAATGCGTTGCTTATATGTATTTACATTAACATATACGCGATGTACTTGAGGAGGGGATCAGTCTCCCAAGGTTTTTGTTATGGGTCGTGCCCTTTGTTCGGACCGCGTGGGTCTTAACTATATTTGTTCGTGGCCACGATTTAAAATTAATACCTCGTGAAACAAATAAAGGGACTTAGACAATCCAGCTGGCTATGCTATATGGATATTCTAAGTCTCTCTAAGTGTTTGTAAGGTTGTTTTGAATTGGACTCTTGGTAAGAGGTAACTTGTGCAGATGTGATAGCACAAAGGGTAAAGCAAAATAGAATTGATTAATTCAATGATAGCAAAGTTGCATTGTTACAAGCCTATGTGAGGCGAATGTAAATAAATAGCTAATATGATAGGTCTGCGCCAGGCGAAGGTAAATAAATACCGCTAAACAAATAAATTGACTTGATAAATAAAAAAAATTTAAGTGATTGTACTACGGTTGTTCTTCTTCCACGTCTTCCTTGTACTCGTTCGTTTCGATATGGTGATGGTAGGCTGACTTCTTTTGGTGTCTCTATGCCTGTCAAGTATAATTGAGAGAAAGATAATTTGTTTAAACACTTGTATTGAGGATTTATTAATTGAAGTTGTGGTGATGTGTGTTGCTCTTTCACGTACCCTACTACGGGGGTTGATTTTTCTTTCTCGCATTCCCAGATATGAAATGAACTCGTGAGTTGCTACGAGTTGCTATGCGGTCATTCCTGCTAGTGGGATTATTTTTCCACGTTAGTAAGAGTAAATAAGATTATCCGTGTGTTGAAATCTAGTAGAAGTATAGTTACCCTTGGCGATGTGGTATGGAGTGTCTTCGACCTTTGGACCATTGATTGATTCATATACATCCTCTCGTAGTAGGTTCTTAATCTGTAAGGAGACGATGGGATGTGATTATAAATTTCTGATGTAAGTAAAAATTACTAGCCCCCCAGCTTAGGTGGGGTGTTAACGCACCTCGTTATGTAGTGTCAAATGTCCAACCATGTAGAAACAGCTTTACAAGACGAGTGACGTGGAAGGTCGGGGAGCCTGTACGGGTGACAATTCGTAAGTGACTTTCATAAAGAAGAAATATGGGTGATGTTCTCAACTGATCTGAAGTAAGGTAGATGTATACCTTAGGCATAGAACCGTTTGAGGTTCCCTATATTCCATGTTCTGAGTATAGGGTGTCCGTCAGTGTTCTCGAGGCGATACGCTCCAGTGTTGACCACTTTTGTGATTTTATATGGTCCTTCCCACTTTGGGTCGAGTTTACCAATGGGGTGAGAGACTTCAGCTTTTCGGAGGACTAAATCTCCGACTTGAAAGGAGCGATGGCGGACCTTGGAGTTATATGCCTTGGCCATGCGTGACTTGTACATCTGTTGCCGGATGTATGCGATCTCTCGTAGTTCATCTACAAGGTCTAGGCTTCCTCGCATAGCTTCTTCATTAGCTGCTGGATCATAATTTGTGATTCTCCAAGATGGTTCACCTATTTCCATGGGTGCGATAGCCTCCGTGCCGAAAGCTAGATTGAAAGGCGACTCTCCGGTTGCTGCGCGTGGGGTTGTGCGATAAGCCCATAGAGCGTTAGGCAATTCTTCCACCCATTTTCCTTTGGCACTTCCCAGCCTTGTCTTAAGGTGTTGGAGGATGGTGCAATTTGTTACCTCTGTCTGGCCGTTATCTTGTGGATTTGCTACCGATGTGAAGAACTGTTTGATGTCCAAGCCGAGGCACCAATTTTTTACTTTGTCACCGCAAAATTGGGTTCCATTATCCGAGATGATGGAACGTGGGATTCTGAAGCGGCACACGATGTTTTTCCATAGAAATTGGATGACTTCTTCTTCTTGGATGCGTGCCAAGGGTTCAACTTCCACCCATTTAGTGAAGTAGTCCACTGCTACAATTAGGTATTTACGTCCTCCTGTGGCGGGCGGGAATGGTCCAACTAAATCCATTCCCCATTGAGCGAAAGGGATGGGGCTGTCGATTGGTTGCATTAATGCCGCTGGTAGGTGATGAATATTTGCATGCTCTTGGCAGGGCTTACACTTCCGGACTAATTTCTTCGCGTCTTCATGCATCGTTGGCCAATAGTAGCCTTGCCTCAGTAATTTGAGAGCTAAAGTTCTCCCGCTCAAGTGATTGCCGCAGATGCCTTCGTGTACTTCTCTAAGTACGTAATCCACTGTGGTCGGGTCGAGGCACTTGAGATAGGGGAATGAGAACCCTCGTTTGTACAGTTCTTCTCCCACTATGATGAAGCGAGCGGCTCTCGTCTTTAACTTTCGTGCTTCGGTGGGATCCGTTGGAAGTTCTCCCTTCTTCAGATACTTCAGGATTGGAGTGAACCAACATGGTTCATCCTCCTCGGTGTATTGTACTTCACTGGGTGAGGTTATCTCTGGCTGAGGTGAGGTGAGGAGCGTCACCTTCCGACTTCCGATGCTGGCGATGGAGCTTCTCAGCCTAGCTAATTTGTCAGCATGGATGTTATTGGAGCGAGGTACTTGTCTTATCTCGTATCTCTCGAATTTAGATAAGAGAGTGTGCGCGAGAGCTAAGTATTTGGCCATGGTATCTTCTTTAGCCTCGTAAGCTCCGAGTACTTGATTGACGACGAGCTGAGAATCGCTTTGGATTAGGAGCTTGCGCGCTCCGGCTGCTAGGGCGAGGCGGATTCCCGCTATCAGTGCTTCTTATTCGGCAACGTTGTTTGAGGCTGTGAATTCGAACCGTTGAGCATATTCGAATTCGTCTCCGTCGGGGTTCGTTAGGACGATACCCGCTCCACCTCCTGTGGCAGTGGAAGATCCATCGACGCTGACGGACCAAGTAGGTAGAGAGGTGCTTTCTTCTACAGAAAGTCAGCCAATACTTGCGCTTTGATAGCTGGGCGGGGTTTGAATTCCACTCTATATTCACTTAGCTCTATCGCCCATTTTGCTAATCGCCCGGATGTTTCAGGACTCCTTAGTATTTGCTTCAGTGGATAATTGGTGAGAACCACCACTTGATGTGACTGGAAGTAAGGTCGAAGCTTCCGGGCCGCGTTGATGAGGGCGAGAGCGAGCTTCTCCATATTGGTATAGCGTTGCTCGGCTCCTTGAAGAGCGCGACTTATGTAGTATAATGGGTTGGTGACCTTTTCCTCCATCTCGGATGAGTACTGCGCTGATGGCATCGGCTGAGGTAGCTAAGTATAGTAGGAGGGTGTCTCCGGGCTGAGGTTTTGTGAGCAGGGGTGGGGATGCGAGATATGACTTCAGCTCAAGGAATTCTTTTTGACATGCATCATCCCACTCAAATTTCTTTCCTCCCCTTAAAATCTTGAAAAAGGGGAGGGCCTTGTCTGCGGATCTAGAAATGAATCTATTCAAAGACGCCAAACATCCGTTAAGCTGTTGGACTTTTTTGATAGATGTTGGTGGAGGCATGGAGGTGATTGCTTCGATTTTTGCGGGATTAGCTTCGATTCCCCGCTGCGAAATAATGTATCCCAAAAATTTGCCACCCCGAACTCCGAATGAACATTTGAGGGGGTTGAGCTTCATCTTATATTTCCGTAGGGTGGCGAAACACTGATCCAAATCAGTTAGGTGGTCCGAGACCTTGACGCTTTTGACGAGCATGTCGTCGATATACACCTCCATATTCTTGCCGATCTGATCTGCGAACATGGCGTTCACTAGGCGTTGGTAAGTGGCTCCCGCATTTTTTAATCCGAAAGGCATGACTCGATAGCAGTAGATGCCTTGGTCTGTGACGAAGCTAGCCCTCTCTTGATCTTCTGGTGCGAGCAAGATTTGGTTATACCCTTGATAAGCGTCAAGGAAACTGAGGAGCTCACACCCCGAAATTGAATCGATGAGTTGGTCGATTCTAGGTCAAGGAAATGGGTCCTTAGGACAAGCTTTGTTGAGGTCAGTGAAATCCACGCATAACCTCCATTTTCCCCCGGGTTTGGGAACGAGTACTACGTTAGACAACCATTCAGGATACTGAACTGGTCGTATGTGGCCCGCTTCAAGGAGTTTTGCCACTTCCGCTTTGATATGCTTGTTGCGTTCGGGACCAAATGTTCATTTCCTCTGTTTGACTGGCTTCAACCTTTTGTCGACGTTGAGCCGATGTAGAGCTACCTGAGGAGGAATGCCGGACAAATCTTGGGCTTTCCTGTATTGGGCCTAATTAGTAGATAAATTTGAGGGCCCATTTGGCCGGCCCATTTAGGTATATCAATGCGTTTCCATATACCTTTAGAGAACATAGATGTAGGAATCACATGGACCAATCCGAACCTTCTGATGAGATAAAACTTTTTAATAAAAATTCTTCATTCTTAATCTAATTAAGAATCATTTCAAGCTATAAAGAAAAACCCAATCTGTTGAATTTTTTCTTTCATTCTACCAACGGTTGGATTATGTGTAGCCTTTTACTGTAGTGCAGTAAGCTGTGTTAGCGGGGAGTGCTATGGTAGAGTAAGCTGTAGTTCAATCGACATAGTGATGAAGGTAGCAATAGAAAAGGGTTATGCTAGATTAACATGTTTGGCTAGATTAACTAGGGACTGCATTAGTTTGGCATAGTCAAGTTCTATGAGCATCTTTGATTGGTAGGTTAGACTTGACACACGACGATTTTGATATTCGCGAGATTAACTTAGGTCATTATCAAGTGTGAGGAAAATTAATTTAGGGTCATATTGTGGATATGATTGATGTGATCTACATTTGGGCAAATATAATCGGGCTAGATTAACTAGGGGTTATATTTGTTTATTGGACCTAAAGCCCATTAAGAAAAATTAGTTTTCTCGTTTGTCTACTAGAGGGAAGTGGAACTCGATGAAATTAGTGGGAGAACAATTAAATAACATAAGGCCAAACATTTAATTGTAACAATCATTTAACGCGAATCTCTAATAATCCTCTTCTCTATACCTCTCAGATAATCATGTCTAAGAATCCCATAATGTCAATCCTCGACAATAAACTCAATGGCCCTAATTACCTAGATTGGTTGCGTAGTCTTAAGCTTGTGCTAACCGTTGAGGGGCGTCTCTATGTTCTGAACGAGAGACTTCCCGCCACTATACCTGCCACAGCGACTGATGCTGAAAAAGAAACTTATGAAGCTTGGAAGAGAGATGAACTCATGCTAGGTGTTATATGATAGCCGCCATGGAGCCCGCGCTTGCGAGGAAATATGAGTCTCAATTGCATGCTTTCGATATAAAGGCTCATCTCGATAGCATGTACAGTGAGAATATTACGGCATCGAGGTACGCTGCTACAAAGGAGTTGATCACGGCGAGAATGCGCGAAGGGACTTCGGTCCACGAGCACTGTCTCAAAATGATCAATCTCCTTGAAAAGCTAGTGAATCTCGATGTCACCTTCCCCGCCGATCTCTC